ATTTTAAATTTTAAATATGTGAAATATAGTAAATGTCTTTTAAGCTTGTGATCTTAAATATGTTATGTGGAGTTGGAACTAAGAAAAGAAAAGGGACATTACTTTTTAATAGATTATAAAGAAAAATTCGACAGATTAATTGAAATGAATAGGATAGATTTCAAGATGATAATACATAATGATTCATGATTTTTATATAAGATATAATCCAATCTAACAGACAAATTAACTCTGAATCCTACTAAATTTGTGTCTTATAGTAATAAATAAATAAATTGAATATTATGCTTCAGAGTTTTACAACTTAAAAAATGAATCTACCCATCGCTAATATCAATTATACTTTAAAATATTATTGGGTTAATTTAATTTAATATTTTTATTCAGTATTCAATATTTATATTGGAGTTGCCCATTCGGATATAGAGCTCTCTATTAAGAATTTTTTTCATATCCAAAACTCAAATTAAGATATTTAATTAAGGAAGGAGAAACACCATTCAATGCACTATATTCTTTGATGGTTATTTTTTTATATTTTTTAATACTAAATTTTTTACCAGGATCAATATTAATTAATGTTGATCAGAATGCTATAGAAATACCTTTTAATATTTGTCAAATAATGATTAATGATTGATTATATTGGGCCCGTATCACGGACCTTAAGAATCTAGTTTAAAAATAAAATATAACTCATTTCCAAACAACACTTCGGGAATTTTGACAAGAGATCTTGTATTCACATTATGTTTTTATTCAACATTTGAAATCTTGTATTCACATTATTTTTTAGTAGTAAACATAATATTATAATATGTACACAAAAGAAATTCTCTTTTCCAGTCATGACTAATATTTTGTTGTTAATTTCTTCGTTACTACGTCCTACACATAAATCATTTTTGGAAAAAGTCTATTTTCACCATTGCGATCGTTATAACAATTTTCCAATTAAAACATACATAATTAGTTGAATCCCTATCGAGTAGCATTGGAGAGTTGACTTTTTTCAACTGATCACTCAATTAATAGTTATTACTCAGAAAATTATCTTTCATCTTGATTTTAATTATCTTCAACAAAAAAAAGAAAATCTAAAATAATAACTATTAGTTAAATGATCGAGAAGTCAATCAAGAGAATGACAAGAGCTATCAAAGCAATTGAGATTTGACACCACAGTAGGTTGTAGACTATAGACATTGGTTGTCTAAAAAATTATTTTATTTTTTAAAATACACTAAAATCTAAAGATCATAATATTAATAAGAGAAAATATTATAAAAGTCACTAAAAGTTTGCATTTCTATAAAACTTAAAGTATTTTTACAAGCTAAAGTTGATTTGAAATGCATTTACACTTTAACTTTTCATTTCAAATGTTGACATACATGACAGAATTATTAATTTATTTTGATTTTATTATTTATATGAAATTCTTCATGTATGATTTTGGATGTGAAACCATTTTATTATTTGATTTGAAAACATGTACGATTTCGAAAAGGCTTCCCCAGTTAATATGATTTCATGCAGATGGTCAGGGTGCATCATATGGGTTTAGTTTTCTCAGGTCAGGTAGTGTATCAAGCGCTAGACATGTGAATTTGGATCGTGACACTGATGGGAATATTCAATTTCATTTCGGATTTACAAGCCAAGCATGGCTCAAAATTTCAAATGGAACGATGATCCATCAACAGTACATCAAGAAATTATGAAAAATTAACCCATGGACTCTTCTAAATCCAATGACACTCCAATTTCAACAACAGCTAGTCGTAATAGAGACATACACTAATGGTTTTTTCAAAAGACAGGAAAAGTTGAAGTACACTCTGGTTCTACTGAAAGTTTAAGTACCTTTTATTTTGCATGATAATGAAAGCAAGGTGCTTATGGAACTAATAGGTGTGAGAGAGCATCTAAATTACTGGAGTTCCCATTCTTTCATCTCCTAGCTGCTGAGAAGAATCAGATAACAGGTTAGAATTGCATCGATAAAGAATGTCGAGTGTAAGTCAGCAGCTACCATCACTGCCAAATTGCTTTTGGAGATCCTGGAATGACACTGTGGCTGAGCCTCTCTTCTTTGGTTTCTGTTGAGATTGGTGTTCCCTCCATCCAGTCATGTATATTATCTGAAAACACAATTCTATTACACTATGCTGCAGCAAAAGAGAACTTTCAGCATCAATTCCTCTTAAATCACCTGAAATGTTGCGGGAATTGTGCCATCTTCGGCTGCAAACATTGACTCATAAATAGCTGCTGTGGCCAGGGCTGTATCCTTTTTCAATACCTAATCCATGGAGAAGATGGATGGTAGAGTGATAAAAACCAATAACACAATTAATTAAGTAATTTCAATTCTTCTCAAGTTGAAAAGATAAAAGGAATTTCAGCAGAAAACCACCTTGCTCCTTTGCAGTAGAGCACTAGTTTCGCCCATTGCACGGAGATGTTCAATCAACTCCAAAGCTGCCACACAAGCAAAACGAAGAAAGAATAATCAATTCAATATAGAAAGACTATGTAATTGAATGAGTGTAGAAATGCATACTTCCTCAATGGCATTGCAGATGTGCAAGCTTATCCACAACCAAAATACAAGACAGTTTATTGCTACTCTGAATAATAAAATGAAGGGGCATTTCTAATGATGACCACAAAACGAACATGTCACACCCGGTTAAGTACATATTGGCTACACATTTCTCAATACCTAGAATCTTAAACTCAAATTGGCAAAAAACTTTTAAGAATCTTGTGGAAAATAAAGTGGTCGGACATAAATGAAAATAATCAGATAAAATGCGAGTGGAGTGAAGTGAAAATAACAAGGACACTTACAAATTTAGCCTTATATTTTTATATTAGTCGCGGTTTCAAGGGGGCTAAATCTGGCTTTAGACTTTGACAAAGACCAGGGCCGTAATCTACCAGTGTTGATGCACCTCTCTTTCTTCCAAGCTAAGAAAAACAGTATAAAGGCAGTAGCTGTCTAGACTTGATAAGACTTACAAAACTAAGCCAACCTGCTCCTGCTGGATACATCACTCAACCCAGTAAAAACTTTTAATAAAGTTCAATATACTCAAGTGATAAAACTCTTGATTTTTTTGTATAACATGTTCAACAATAACAGTGATGCTTAGTCCTCTGAAAGATCTGACCTCTTGGTCAGTGGTCAGTGGTCACTAGCTAAGATACTAGCTGACAAATAATTCTAGCGAGCCCAATGACAATCTTATTTTGCCCATAAAAACTATCTAAAAGGCAAACACTTTGGTTGTTAAGAAGGCAGGTAGATCCTCCATGAGAATTCTCAATGATCCATCAAAAATAGACAGAAGTAAGAACATCAGCTGGGAATTCTAGTTTGCAGAATACATAAGCTTGCAACCATTGAGACTCATCCCGAAAAATATATCTAAAGGAAAAGGAATGAAATGTACATTGCACACTGCCAAAAGAAGGGGGGCAGAAGAAGGCAACAACTGTCAAGGTTCTGAAGCTCCAGATATAGGAAAGAACTAGTGAAACAAAAGCTTTCAGATTCGACTGAAGCAGGGTTAATTTTAAATTCCTGGAAGCTGTGTTGCTTGGACTCTCCAAGATGGTGTCACACCCATGTCAGATCCTCCAAAAATGCACACTATTCATAAAGTATCAAACATGCACCTATTGGCAATTTCAAAGAGTATGAGCAACATAGCCTGAAAGTGTATATATCTCGCAGAACTATAACAGAAATAATATTTTAAGTAGATTACCTTACAATTTACATGCATTGAGTGTGCCATATTGAGAGACATATCTAAATCAAATAGAACACAAGAGATACTTAGAGTGCAAAAGCAGGGAGATAGAAAGAGGCAACGAGTTAAGCATGACCTTTTAAGCTCCATAAAATGACTGGTCACACAAAAGCTTTAAAAAGAGATTGATGTATAGAACTCTTCACTACTTTCCTGATTTGCATACTTAAGAGAATTATTCTTTCTTCTTTGTAAAGAAATCTACCAGGTCAATTCCGTCTCACCTCACAAGAAAATAAAAATTAATAATAGTATAAAAACGAAAGAGAATTCCATTTGGAAGACCATCAGAAACTTGTAGTCAGCTTTCAGTAGCAATATCAGGATCAAAGTTGCCTTGAAGACATCTTTCTAGGAAGAACACTGATTGGGCAAGGAAGTTTGAAAAACCTTTTCCCTGGCTTATTCCCTCCAAGTCTCTAAAAAAAAGCACTGGTAAGCCAAGTCTGGAGCCCCAAAGGATGGAATATGAGCTTTAGAAGATTATTGAAATGATTGGGAACTAGAAAGACTCTCTAACTTCCTCCAAACTCTTGAATCTTTTAAGGGTACATCAGAAACCATACATAAATTAGTTTGGAAGCTGAATATCAGAGATGCATTTACAGTAAAGGCTGCATACTGGAATCTAAACCATAATGCTTCAATGACTGGTGTGGCCTTGGAAACACATTTGCAGGATCAAAAATCACTCTAAAAGTATTCCTGTTTTGTTTGGTTAGTGGTGAAAAAGGAATGTGTAAAACATGAGAACTTACAAAGAAGAGGATTCCAGATTTGCAGAAGATGTTTTCTTTGTGGACAGGAAGTAGAAAATAATGCTCAATACATATATGTGGCACATGTTATCTTCTATGATTGCGGTTACTTGGTTCGTTCCTAGAACCACACTGGAGCTTCTGAACCACTGGAAGGGAATTGATACAAGAAATGAAGAGAAAGACAGATGGAAAATTCATTTCAGTTTGTATAAGGTGGATAGCGGGGAAAGAAAGGAACTCATCAAGATGTTTTGAAAACAAAAGCAACTCCATTAAGAAGACCAAGATGAATTGAGTCCTTGTTTTATTTTGGGTGTAAACAGGAATTTTTGGATGATGCGGGAGACCTGATAGATTTAGAAGAAAGTATGTCCATATATATGATAAAAGAAAACATTACAGAAAGCTAGAAAAGAGTACAAGCAAAAAGTGGAGAGCAAGGCGGCATAACAAGGGCATTGCTGTTAAAATCTTAATATCCAGATATGGATTCATGCAAGGTACAGGAGGTTCCTGCCACTGTCTGCTCGAATACGAGGTTGGAAACCAAAGCATGAAGCATAACTCTTACCACTGCTATATCGAACTGTATACTCATCAACGTCAACCCCAGGAAGAGTAAAGCCTGCCCTAGTCAAGAGATTGCCAGCATCACGCACCTGCAGCAAAAAAAATATATGCTCTTTCACATGATGCCTTCTCTTTTTGGTGAGTTTCTCTTCACAGTTCAACACAAACCTTTGCTTCATCTAATGAACAATATATAATATTTATCAGTTAATTGCTTAATAACCAACAATGAAGTAATAGCTGAGTCTTCAATTGCCATGATAGCAATGCTCTTTATAAAATTTAGAGATTCTTGCTCATGTTTCCAGTGTTCATTGTGATTGTGATATATAACTGCCTCCTTAAAGTTACCCCATTCCCCAGGGATGGAAGAGGAGTACAAGGTAAATTACAAGAAATGACACGTTACTGCCAGAGAAGCAGGTAACCCTTCAGCAGGCCATGAGCCTTTAATGTTAGTAGAAAACAATGCACATTGCGGACTGCAGTTGAACAGAACTTCACTAGACCGTCCACACACTGAAACCCACATTTGACAATGAAAAAAATCCTTCCTCATTCCATATACTCCGACACTCCCTTCTCTCAAATAGCAGTTAAGTGAAAACTATAACCACTCAACATGCCAAAGTCATACTACCATGAATGCAAAACAATAGAAATTGTGTATCTTGAAGAGAAACGGTCTTATCATTTTTTTGAGAAATGTGAAACAATTGTGTTATACGGGAATGTTCGTCAATTGAATTAAAACAGAAACTTAACAAAAAAGAAATTTGGTTGACCCACTGATATGAAATAAAAAAGTAAGAGCATAGTCAATTTACTAAATTTGACAAATTCAGCTCATGTAATACATCCTTAAGCGCTAAGACCTATGTTTCCAAAAAAAATGGCCCATGATACAGTGACCACTGTATCTTTGATTTCAAAAGATACAGTGGCCAAAATTGGTCACCATGACAAACTGACTAGAAGCGTCTGTTGTAAGATTTTATAAATAATATTTGTATATAAGATTGTTAAAGATTCATTACTCTAGGAATTTCAAAATTACTGCTAGTCTTGATTATATTTAGAAATCTAGACCTATGAAACAATTTTCAGAATCAGTGTATAGCCAAATTTCAAAAATATACTTGTGCCAAGGGTGATAATCGTGGACTGATGCCTCCTTCACGCTCCATTTGTGCAATAGTGCAAGCTATCCGCAGCTCCCTAAGATAATATCAACAAGATGACGAACATTTAGGTTCTACAAACATAGAGACTGTATGCACTATGCACTTGATATAATGGTAGTGAAATACCTCAATGTTTCTCCGCCAAGAATAGCCGCCAAGAATAAGCCATCTGGCTTTAAAGCCAATCTGCTCTGGTAGAAGTACAGTTATAGTAAGTGTCTTTGGTGATATGCCATTTGAAGTTCAAGAATGAAAAAGGAAAATGACTAAATACTAGAGGGAAATGTAATCTGTGCGTCCAACCAAATACAGCAAGCACCTGTATCATTGCCCCAGGAAGATCATTTGTCCAATGGAGTCCCAAGCAGCTAATGACCATGTCAACAGAACTTCCCATGTGAAACAACAGAATGAAAAAAGGATGTTATTTCTTACTTTGTCAATAAGGTATTCCCATCATTCATTAAGGACAGCGTCAAAGTTACACGTACTTTTCTTTCACGGGCAAATATTCTTCATCACCAATAACGTATGATGTTTCAATGTTATCAGTTGGCATTTGCTGCTCAGCATCTTTACACAATTTTACCATGTCCCATGATGTATCCATCATAAGTAATTTCTCGATGCCACCTGAAAAGCAACAGGTACGCCCAAAATCATGCTCTAGTTTCTTGGAACAATATAAGCATGTTAATCAAATGGTTCGTGAAGGGTCAAAATTATTACTCAATTTCAGTATGAGCCAAAGTTGGTTTGAGCATTATTTTTGGTTGGCGGGCTAATTTCTTCTAAGAATCATATTCCCAAGTGACTTAGTGACAGATGAATGAATGAGATCTATCTTTATAATGGAGACAACTTATGGAGTACTGTTATTTTTGTCTTTTGAAAATGCAAGATAATTATATATGTAGTTTAAGGCAAATAGAGGATGCCCAAAAAGGTTACAAGGCTAAGTGAGGCAGAAGGATTCCGAAAAGATCTATTCAAGCATCACTGGGAATTGCTTCTTTATATCAAAAATGAACAAACAATAGGAAAAAGGTTACTTACATGCATCTCGATAAATAGTATCGGTTACCTGCTTCCTCCCACCAGTATAAGTACCAGGTAACTACCCCATAAGTGATAAGACTTAGGCAGTTGGAAACAAATCACCTAGGCCCTAGCGTTTTTTATCTCTACTGGAAGTTGATCCTTGGTCTCCCAAAACCTTTCACACTTCATTGATCACTAGACCACACCTCTGGGTGCAAGAACTGTTAAATTCTTTAACTGAGTTTTCAAGTCCTTGATATGCATTTTTGGTCCTTTTTCTATCTCTTCTTTCTACTTAAATAACAATGATAAATTGGGTTTTCAAGTCCTTGATATGCATATTTGGTCCTTTCAATATCTCTTTCTTTCTAATTTTGATAACAATGGTGTCGAACCAACTTGTGCGCACTTCGTCTATATCATTGGATACTTGCATCTTGATCATCATGTCATTCTCCTAGGAGATTGCATACCTAAATCATTTAAGTTTAGGTACCACAATTTTGTCTAATTTTGCTCCACTTACATAATAGCTATTAAAAATAATTTATCAGATAAACGCATTCAAGGGTGGTGCAACCCCAGATATATAACACCCAAAAGGAGGAGACAAGAAATCCAAAGAAGTAACTGCTTCAAGCTAGTATGATTTTCTTAAATTTATAGTGTGTAAGACATGTTTAACTACTACTACACTAACTAAATAAAATTTCACTATTTTCCTTAACAATTATGCAAAATGAAAGCATCGTTTTGTTTTTTCAAAAAGTAATGTTTAATATGAAATTTTTGGACCGACAAGTCAAAAACCAAGTAATATCAAGAAACCATAGTTAAAACATGTGACTCAAGAAACTTTCTTCTCACCGCGTCCGCGCAGTAATCGTCTGATAGCTTCTAGAGAACCCCCCATACACAATGCCGTAGGAAATGTTTTCTTACAATCCTGCAAAATAAAAAAGATGTAAATCTTGAACTCTTGTTAGATGAGACACTATTAAAGCACAGCAATTGTTAGGCAAGCAATTAATGTATATCAACAACAAACTCATAGAATTGTTTTTAGTCATATGTGTGGCAACAGATCCATGGCATCCCAATCTATTAGGGGTTATTCTGCTGGCTGCATAAGGAAAGATATTCCTTGCATAAATTCAGCATACAGCATTTCTTTTGCAATATTTAACTGAGCATACTAATGAAATCTCTACCTAACTAATACAACACTCGATTTTCGGCATAAACCCACTAATGCAGCTATTAACTTTTGGCATTAAACTCCATTACTAATACTGACATAACTTATGTGAGAATCTATGTATGGGCTATCTAAAAAGAAAATACCCTTAAAATAGGCAATTGCTGCATAAACAACTTAGTGCATTATTATACACTATATAACAATTCCTACATTATTTTTATTATTCAAGCATAACAATCCCTGCATTAATATTCACAGCTGATAGCATAATAATCTGTGCAATAAAATTCACAATAATTAATCCATGAACCAAATGACATTTAAGAGAACATGAGTTATCCAGGATCCTAAAAGACATGCAACCCAACTACCTAAGCCTAAGCTATATGACTTCCCCGCTAGGCAGATAATTTGGATAGATGACTTATTAGAAAAGAAAGTGTCTCACCTACCACTTTATCTTCTCAAAATCTAAAACTGACTGTTGTTTCTTAAACAATAGTTATAGATCTTATAGTGATAGGAAGTACATTAGTGCACATGATGTCAAAATTTACTAGTCGTATTCACCAAATTTTAAAAAAAAAATGGTAATTAGGCATCCTTCTGAACATAATATCCTAACCTTAATATGATAGGTAATCTAATCTTTATTTAAAGAACGATACAACTGAACCCATATATTTCTCTATCAACTCACTAAATTCATCGATCTTCAGAAGGGGCAACTACTCACGCATTGTTATATTGTGAAGGATAGCAAATAGAGCAAGATCACAGGAGTAAAGTAGTGAAATCATGAAAAGGTAATTTTTGTTAGTTTGAACATATAGCATTCAATTGAACCAGGGGATACTCAATCTAATAATGACCCATTTGAGGTAGGATGATAAAAAATATGGTCATGGTTTGCATATGAGTTTTCAAAGTATTGGCCAACAGTTTACTACCCTAAACCCTTTCCAACCAGTTGTAATTTTATGGAGTTCATTATTAGATGGTAGAGTATGCTCATAATGTTCTAACTCACCTCTCCTTTTGTATGTCATTACTTTCTCCTCCCTAATCGGTGTTACTGTTTAATTCTTTTGTCAGTGTCAACCTTTCAGCATGGATAGGAAGAAAAGTTATACTCAAAACTAGAAATGACCGGAACATAAAAAGTAAAAATTAGTTTTTTGCAGTATGGTTAAAAAAAGTCTTCTTCACTGGCTCCTTCGTCATTTACCAGGATTTGTTGCACTTGAGACGAGGTCTTTCGGATGCAGCCTCTCTACCTCCACAAGGTAGTGGTACGGTCTGCATACATTCTTCCCTCCCCAGACCTCACTTGTGGGATATCAATGACTATGTTGTTGTTGTTTCATTATGGTTAAAACATAAATATGGTTGAAACAAATTACTGAGGACATGACCCTAATGACACTAGATAGGAAGGTATGAAGGTCAAGGATAAGGGTAGAAGGCTAATAGGTAGCCGAGTGTTGTTGCACTTATGTGAGAAAGGTAAGGGGCTAGCCTCCTCCACGCCTCTTCTCAGTATTAGTTTTATTATTATTTGGTGGTGTGCTAGTGGTGCATTCTCTTCTTCAATGTGTATTACTATATGTTAATTCATTTGCTTTGTATCTAGTTCTTTTGTTGTCATATTTTTCTTACAATCCTGATTCAAAAGCTATTCATTTGAGACGAGGGTCTATCAGAAACAACCTCTCTATCCCGTTTATACAATTACAATAGGTATGTCATTATGTTGTTGTTGTAAACCAAAAACCTCACGAAAATTAGTTGTACAAGAAAAAGTAAGGAAAAACGAAGGCTAAACTAAATACCTCCAATCGATCCAGTAGATTCTCAGCCACAGTATCAACAAGAGAGTCCTTTGGCTTCATCAACCACGCCGCTCTATCACGCTGCCAACCATGTATATCCAACCGAAAATACATAGTATAAATGGATAAGTAAACTGAAAATTTTTAAAAATTAGATTTTTTACACAAATAAATTTGGATGTTTAGGGGAGATATTCAAGGTATATGGAGTAGTGCAATAGAAGAAGCTTTACTTGCTTGCGCTTAAGATGGCGATCAAATATTTTGAGTTTGGAGCTCTGAAATCCATCTCCGGAATCAGTACAGTAGGATCTTAGGCCTCCCAGACAACGAGCTATGCTTCTTCTCATTGCAAATTAACTTTGCAATGGCCCTGTTTTAGGTCAGACCGACAAAGAGTCAGATATTTATCAGTTAACCGAAAGTTCGGCCTTACCCTATTGGAACACCCTATTGTTGTTTTCAGAAAATTTTAACTCAATCACAGTAATGGACATGAGATATTCAGAGTTTCTTCAAAGGAAAAGCATTAGCTTTGCCTCTGCACTTCTCAAAAAAAATTATAATCATCTTTCATTACACTTCATTTTGATATATTTGCCCTTACCGTCCAACTTTGAGCACACATTTACCCCTAAACCATTAATTCCCCTTGTTTCCCACCTTCATTTCTCACAATTCAAAATCTGATCCGCATTTAAGTTACTTTAACACGACTCACCGATTAAACCCGACCCAATTTGCAAAATAAACCCATCCAAAATTCCCAAAACCTCAACACCACCTCTGATCTGCGTGGAAAGGCAATTATCTTTAGGTTTGTATGGAAAATATTAGCAGAATAACCTAATCACTCAGCAATTCAATAAAGACAACAGATTTAATCATATTGAAATGAAATAGTAACTGAAATAGCAAAAATTTAAAAACAGTGACCTTTATATAGATGAATTGAGCTAATATTAAAGTAAATCCTCAGCGACTAGACACCTCGCCGGTGACTTCAAATGGAGCAAAAAAACAACAACCCCAACGGCAACCTGGAACTTGAGCTGCGACAATTATGTTCAATGGGAAAGACGAGGGAATATGGTTAACTGGTTTCGAAGCTGCATCAATGGAGTTTTTATGTGGTTTTATGGTGGATAAAATAAATAAATTAGATCTTAAATTTTTGAAAAAATTATAACATTTATTTTATTTAAAGTCTATTTTTTTAGTTTTTAAAAATGTAAAGTTTTTAGCATATTTCGTAAAAAAATATTTTTAATTGAAAAATTGTTTATTTTTTTTATATGATTTTTTCTATTTTTTGTATATACAGTACTCCCTCTTTTTTAATTTTTTTTTTTATTTGATACGAAGTATAAAATTTAAGAAAATATAAGATTATTGAATCTTATAGTCTTAAATTACAAATATATAAAATACATCAAAGTCTTAAAAATATCATGTGGTGACAAACAAAAATATATTTTTGAAATAAGTTAAAATAAATAATAGAAACCAATTAAAAACAAACTACTTAATATTTTTAAGGAAGCCTATAGTAATTCTATTATTGCTAAAAAAAATAAACAAATTGGGACACTCAAATTTGGAGGCTTAAGACAAGTGTCTTATTTTTTAAAGCTAAGAGTCTACTCCGAAAAAAGGTCGACACTTGGGTGTTTTGGAAGGAGGGATCATCGCTCTCGTATATGAACTAGTTGCTATTATTTACCGTGTGTTCGAGGTAAGTTTTGTTGAGTTTATGATCAAAATCATTCACTAAACTTTTGTTATATTCTTATCAAAAATATTATTCAGGTTTTAAGAAAAAATGGTTAAAAGCCCCCCCAAATCTATAGCCGGATTCTCAACTACACACTCATACTTCACGGGGGTTCTATTACCCCCTTGGACTATTTTAAAGTGGAATTATTTGCTCCCTAAATGCTGATGTGGCAAAAAAGGTGTAGTTCACTCTTTGGGAGAGTGAGAGATAAAAAGATAATTAAAATATTAACTTTATAAATATTTAATTTATTTCATATTAATATTCTACTTTTTTTATAAAAAAAAACTTGTTTCCTTTTCTTTTTTTTTACCTTCTTTTATCTTTTCCCTTTAATCTTCATCAGATCCGGACACCAACGATGACTCACCTCGACTATCAGGTCACCGCCCTCATCAACTTTTCATCACTAAGTCAATTCTCATCTTCAAATCACATACTTTTCATCATATCTCCACTTTTCCTCACTTTGAAAATTTGTTGGTAGCTCAAAATCAAGACTGAAAGTTAGAAGAATCGAACTTTAAGTCATTAATGGAGGAGTTCACTAAGTAATAGATTCAATTAATGGAGAAGAATTCATAAAAGAAATCATTGGGTAACAAACTCTTTGATGAAGAAGACTCACTTATTAAAATTGTTGTAAACATCAATTGAGTTTCTCATATCAACATTGTTAAATCTAAATCAATACTAGTCTCTCCGCAAGTCTATTACCTTTACCGGCAGGCAAGTATAATTTTGATGAAGGTCGAAGAGCAGTAGTCGTCAAATCTGCAGAAGCCTTCAAAGAAAAAGAAATGGAGGAATGAAAAAGAAAGAGAAAAGGAGAATATGAAAATAAAAAACAAAAAAAAAGTAAAATAATTTGTTTACATAAAAAGGGGTAATATTACGTGGCAGCGCGTGTTGACTACTACCTAATACAAATTTGGGCGTGAGTTTGTAAGGGGCTAAATATTTCACTTTTAAAAGGTTCAGGGGGTGATAGGACCCCGTAAAGAATAAGTGTATAGTTGAGAATTCGATAATAGCTTGGGGGTGCTTTTGGCCATTTTCTCCAGGTTTTAATGAAAAAGTTAATTGAGAGATAATTTTGGTAAAGTTCTAAAAATTTTAAGATGTTTATGGTTAAAGTGAGATATTACAAGAATGTAAAGAAAATTCTATTTGATGTATTAAGGACAATTTTGAACAAAACCTCTAAATTTGGTGGTGTAAAGAAGATTACAAAACGTGATAATAGGTGGTGTTTTTTTTTTTTAATTGTTGTTTTGTTTAAATATGGCAAGGACCATTTATTACAGTTCAACATTGTTGTCATCTTCATCTATGAAGGTAAAGGACCTAATTCCCTTGTACATCACCTGAATCAACCTTAATGGGAAAAAATAACCTAATTCATCCTTAACTCGTGCAGATTGAGCTCAAGAGAACTGATATCACGTCATCTTAGTTCAGGATATCATAGATATTTTCCCTAATCTTGATCTATATACGCTTGAATTACAACATACTACACTCTATGGAGAGTGACTTTTTTTTTTTTTCTGTCGTGTAACTTTTCCTATGAGTATTTGTTTGTCCTGTTAATTGTAGTCTTTTAATTTGATCCATGATTTCTATTCTGACATTTCTTTATTCTGAGCTTTGGTTGTCCTTGCTTATCTGCTTGAATTATTGTTCTTATTTGTATTGGCATATCTTTATTAGAGAGAAATTGTATTACAGTACCTGCAAAACCATACACACGGTGGTGTCAAGGTTTGAGAATCTTTGAAATAACCTTATTTTTAACAACTAAAATGCCGATTAGATATAAATTAAGAGAAATAAAAAAAATCTGACCAACAATTTAACAGTTTAGGAGTAAATATATGTTCAACGTAGAAAAATAAAGATAAATATATCAAGAGAGCATAATAGAGGTTAAATATAATTTCATTTACAAGTATAAAAGAAAAATCTGACCATTTTTCGTTTCTCCGATATGAAAAAATAGAGAAAAGGAATTATAGTTCAAACTCCAAACTTTGATTTAATCTTCAAAAGGAACTAACTACATGATTAAAACTCCAAACTTTGATCAAGTATCCAAAACTTATATGAGACCTTCCAGACACAAATTAATAGTGGTAAAACACGCTCCAAATTTACTAGGTTCATCTTAATCAAATGTTGACCTTGGTCAACTCTAAGCTTTAAGAAAATTAGAATTTTCTATCCAATGGTCCAAAATGCCTACCGAATGTCTCGGGACTCATATCAATCATCCAACCAAGTCAATAATCACCTTTCGAACCTAATGAAACTGTTAGAATTCCATTTTGAGCTTGTTAACCCAAAATGTTGAGTTTGGTCAAACTTCTCAACTTTCAAAATTAAAAATCTCACGCAATTTTTATTTGATCACCTTCATCCATTCTCGTAAGTCATAAATAACATAATGAAACTATGAGAAGGTTCAAGTAGGAAAATTAATTCAAAAGAACAAAACGGTCATGCAAATCATTACAACTTCCGAGTGTTTAACATGTACAGTCTTCAAATACAATGTAGCTAATAACTCATACCAAATATTTAGCATGCTCAAATATATTATAGACTAGGGGTGTACAAAATCGAATCGAAAACCGAATCAAACCACAAATCGAGGAAAAAAACCCGATTAGTGGTTTGTTTGACTTGGTTTGGTTTTAACTTAAAAAAATCAACTCGAGACCAAACCAACCCGACATTATATATATAATTTTAAAATTTTATTTTATACATAAAAATATTTACTTTGATATAATTTTTAAATATTTCTTATCCTTTTTCATAGTTTTTATCTTTTAATATATTATTATTTCAAGTTTGAAACTTAGAATTCTAAATGATTCAATAAAGATTATAGTCCACATATATTGGTAATTATAATAAAGCTTAAATCAAAATTAAAGTAATACTAAAGCAAAAAAAACAATCAATTCAACACTAAGAATGACAATAATATTGAATATTTGTTCCATGGTTTTACATTGGTTTATTCAAATACATAATCTAATTTTAATTTCCTTTAATATTTAGTCATGTAACTAATACTTATTAAACTTATTTTAGAATGATTTAGTACTTTTAAATTATGATCATTTTCATTATGACTTGTTAATTTGGAATATTTGTTTTACGCGATTTCATTATTATTATTTTTTGTTGGATATTTTAGTATCATTACTCATATAATATTTTGTGTTATTTTCTTAAGAAACACCTTAGATAGTTGTATTTTGGAAGGACTTAAGAAATATATGAAGTACAAGTAAATTATATGTTTGTATGAATAATTTTCCGGAAAAAACCCGAAAATCCGAAAAAACCCGAAGTTGAAAAACCCGAGTTTTATTGGTTTGGTTTGGTTTATAGATTTAAAAATCCGACACAAATGATTTGATTTGATATTTGAAAAACCCGAACCAACCCGGCCATGTACACCCCTAATACAGACTATCTTTTAGAAATTTCAAGTTGATCGATTTGGAAAGACTTGAGAAAGTGAGAAATTTGAAGATCATTTTATTAAGGAAATTATTTTCTTACTATTTGTGATTCACTCCGAAGATCTAAAATATGTTCTTGAAATAAATGTGACTAGTTTTTCGAATGTATCATATAGATTCATTAAGTCTGTCGTTTCTTCACAATGAATTATAGCAAGGAATGAACTTTTCAAGTAATAAATATTGTATCATATAGTATTTTGTTTTAATGAATACAACATTTGAATAGATCATACCGTTCTCCATCGTTATAACTTAGATAAGTCATAATGTCACATCAATAACGGAGTAGAGCTACTATAAAGAGGTAGGGTAAAGAATAAAATAAGATTATTAAATAAAATAGATAAAGAAAAAATAAAAGAAAATATTAAGATAACAATGCGATCACACCAAATCGGTCATTACATAAAACGAGACTTCGTCGTTACCTAACAATGAATTTAAATAATACGATACAATTAAAATTAAAGTAACAACTAAAACAAACATGATATTTAAACTAACAATACAATACATTACAATGGGTAACAACCATCCAAACAAAGGTGTTATTCTAGTTAACCATAACCTGGATATATAATACTACCAAAACTCATAGTGTGAAACATTAGCTCAAACTTTAGTATCAAAAGGAAAATGGAGGAAATGAAATTTGAAGCACTTTCTCAGATATACAATTCCTAAGAAAAACACCAAAAAGTTATATTGAGATTCCTTCTCAAATAAATCACTGCATACATACATACAACTTACAAGCCAATGATATAGACAGTTGCCCCTTCAAAATTCTTTGCCAAAAGCCCAGATTTCCATGAATTACAATGTACTCATTTCTCCCTATACATTCCAATATCAATGCAACTATCACATCAGACCAAAATCTGTCTTGTCTTTTTTTGATTGATATCTTTCTCATCATCAGAAATACATTCTCTGTCCCTTACCTTTTATGTGTACATACAACATAAAAACACATACATTCTGTTCACTCTTCAAATAGGGTGCTCGTGAGTCCAGAGAGAGAGTGGGTATTTCAGCCTGCTAGTTCTCTGTAATTCTTGCGGATGCTCCATAGAATCTCGGCACACTTTCTCATGGTAGGCCGGTTCTGTCGATGAGGAGCCAAACATTGCAAAGCTAGTTCATAAATTTTTTCCATGGCCAAACTATTTGCAGCAGATCTTTCTAGCCTTGGATCCAAAGTTAAGATTGCATCTCCACTGGTGAACTTCTTCATTGCCTGTTTATTGTTAAGACCGAAATAAGCAGGTGTAATGCGAAAGCTAGCAAAGCAAACCTCGAAAGACCATGAGTAAGAAGACCAACGAGAAACACACCAAAAGAGATAGATTTAACGTGGTTCGGTCAATCAACCTACGTCCACAAAGGAGATGAGCAATCCACTATAAATATGAGAGTACAAAATATAGAGAGAAACAACCTCAACCAATTCACTCGGAATACAAGGAGGTACACAAAATTCTCCTCCATAACCGTAACTCTCAAAACCGTAGGACTACATTGTGAATGCTAATTAAGTTTGAAGGAACAAACCTATATTTATAGAGTCCTAAAACCTTTCCTACAAGAAAAGAACTAGTCAAAATATTAAACATTTTCTTAAAAGAAAAACCTATTTATGGTAAGAAATCAGGGCAAATAAAACCCAACAAAATTCTCCTCCATAACCGTAACTCTCAAAACCGTAGGACTACATTGTGAATGCTAATTAAGTTTGAAGGAACAAACCTATATTTATAGAGTCCTAAAACCTTTCCTACAAGAAAAGGACTAGTCAAAATATTAAAACCTTTTCCTAAAAGGAAAACTTATTTATGATAAGAAATCAGGGCAAATAAACCCCAACATTTATAAACCAGCTTTTGTCAATACTTCTTTGGTGAACATACAAGCCTATCTCTAAAAAGAAATGACAGTAAATAGCATCTTGTACTGACATTATGAAATGATGTAACTTATATAAAGTGGCGGTGTGAATTCTTTTTACACCATCAATGTATTTTAACCTGTTGTAGCAGATAACTTGTCTTATTTTTCATGTCACTAATCCACCGCTATTTATGAATGATTCTTTTAGGTGACTTGATCGTATAGAAATTTCATTTATTAAAAATTATACTCTTAAGAAAGAATCATACCCATCTTGCGGTAATGCGCTCTTTGATTTCTTTTTTTGACTCGATTGGGCGCCTTCCAGTAACAAGTTCCACAAGTAAAACACCAAATGAATAGACATCACTCTTCTCAGTAAGTTGATAGGTACTCAGGTATTCTGGGTCTAAGTATCCTGCTGTCCCTTTAACTTGGGTAGAAACATGTGTGGCTCCTGACTCAGTGTCAGCTGCTAGCCTAGCAAAACCAAAATCGGCCACCTTAGCTCGAAGGTTTTCAGTGAGGAGAATATTGGAAGACTTGATGTCTCGATGGATAATAGGGTGATCTGCAACCAAAGCACCCTTTTCTTTTTATGATATATCGGAAGAACAGAGAAATCCTAGATAAATAAGCCAAGAATTCAAGAAAACCTGTAATGCACATAATTCACTTGTACCTGTATACATATGCAAATATGTAATTGCATGTCCTACATCTATTCCGATGTCTAGTCTTGACGCGAAATCAAGAACATTTCCACTGACACCTGCATCGTTAAATGACATAAGCATTGAAAGCCGCAATTGTGAATGCCAGAGCCAAACATTGATGGAAAATGAAAACTCAGAAGCAAGATCAAGAACTCACTATCCAAGTGTTCCCTAAGAGTTCCATTAGGGACATACTCAACAACCAAAATCTTTTCTTCTCCATGCTCCAAGAACCCATAAAACTTCACTAAATTTAGATGTTCTATTTTTTCTAAAGTTCGAACCTCACTTCGAAATTCAGCTCCCGAGTGTTTATCATGTATATTCTGCAAATACAAGGCAGTTAAGTACTCTTGCCAAATTTTTAGCATATTCAAGTTCTTGAACATATACAGGAACAAGCTTGATATTAATAGTAAGTAACTAAGTGTACATTTTTGGCGCGTTTGATTGCAACAACTGTTCCATCCGGTAGGCAACCCTTGTAAACTATCCCGAAACCTCCTTGACCAATTTTAAGGCTTGGGGAGAAGTTCTTTGTGGCCTTATAAATATCTTCCATGTTGAATTTAATACTCCCTGCCTCTTTTGTATGAATTGAATTATTTTCACTACCATAGATGCTTCGACCTCTACTGCTACTGCTACTGTGTCTCTTCTTCCTTCCGCCATCAGATGCAACTGAAAATTTCCAACCAACTAAAATGTGAAGAATCTTTTTGAAGTATTTAGTGAACTTCCTTTTCCTATAAAATGAAATACAAACTAAGTGGAGTTTTATCAGTCTTTCAGCTCGTGGAATTAAGGGAAACAGCAAATTCCAACTCAAGACTGTACAGAATTTATATCATTCAATTTTCATTACAAGACAAAAAATCAACATCAACGGGATATTTAAGAATGAAACAAGGAAAACTTTTAGAGTAATAAATCCAGCTGAAATCCCAAGCAAAACAAGAAAGGGAAGGACAAACAAAATTTATTTACTTAATGCCTCCAGATGAAGTTCAGAAATCGATTATTATTATTTTCTACTCCTCTTTGATTTTCAAATGGACGAAGTCAAATGGAGATTGAAAAGGCAGAAATAGAGGAAAGCAAACGATATGATTCCATAGTGCCGAATTACAATGAGTACTCAACTACACAAAATCATTGCCTGAAAATTCCCTGTCGCTATAAAATGTTGGCTAAATATTTTAGGTGTTTATACCTCATCTGCAGTGAATTTCCACCAATTGTTGGCTAATTACAGCCATTGGCAAAGTTTAGTGTATTTTCACCCGATAAACCTCATAACTATTGGCTAATGTTTACTAAGCTCAAAATTCATCTACTACAATTCAGACACTAAGATATCTGTTGCTTTAACCATGGGGGAAATATACTCCTCCTTGACTATATCTTTACGGCCAACATAAACAACTCATGTACAGTTGTCAGATACTGTCCAATGGCCTTGAGCATAGACGGAGACATAATTTAAGTCAATGTATACAAGCATCACTGTCCCACTTGTGGGATTACACTAGGTTTGTTGTTGTTTGTTGTTATTGTATACAAGTACCACTGTACTCATTTGTTTATGATAAATTTGAAGTAATGTGTATGCCTACACCTATGATGGAAAAGCTCCATCAACTTGTGCCTGCAAGGTTTTGTTCCTTAAAGGCATCACATGATTAACTTTCAATCTATTACAACATGATTAAAGCTCAATCCCTCAAGGAATTGGCTTAATTTTCTTCCAATCAAAACTAAGCATCCAATTTCGAACTTAGGTTGGTCTTACACTTCAACAAGAAAATCTTTTACACATTTATAACCAAAACGTTTCACTTTATCACTTCTCGAGGTACTCTATGGTCTAATCCAATCTCACTTCTATACGTCCGATGCAGAGTAAATATTAATCTTTAAATTGAATATTAGCAAGTCAAGTTTTGTATTCTTGCTGTGACAAACATACTAACTCTGCATAACCGATCAATGTGAAATGGAACTTCGAAGTCAAACACATTCTTGTAGCTCCATCTAATTTACTGTAGTGCTATTGATTAATAATAAAATGAATCCAATATGTGAAATGCATTATTTTCCTTTCCATTCAAAGCACAGCCTCAACATCCAAATGGTAAAAAGCTAATGCATGTTGTAGATTGACAGAGGTGTAGGCAATATTTATCATATACATGATACATATTGGAATTTTCTACTCCTTCTGTTTCAATTTGTTTGTCTTACTTTCCTTTTTAGTCTGTTTCAAATAGAATGTCTCTTTCCTATTTTGACAACGCTTTAATTCTAACTTTCTACATGACATGTTTAAGACCACAGGATGGACATTTTGGTATATTCTACATATCTTTAGTTTAGTTTAAGACCACAAGATTCAAAAGTTTGTTCTATTTTCTTAAATTCCTTGTCAAGTCAAAATCAGACAAACAAATTGAAACAAGAATATATTTTTTTTTAATGTACGTTGTTTACTTCAAAGGCAAGACAATGGATACACATGAACCTGTTGCTTTTACACTGGATCTATATTTATTCATGGCTGAACCCAAATGACAAAATTGATGAAATTACTGGGTTAATAAGCCTCAAAAGCACATAGTTACTGACCCTATTTTCCTGATTGTTATGAACGTTGAACAGTTACATGTAATTATATTTTGGGTGAGGTGATTGTGTAAAACATATTCTTTTTCTGTTGTCAGTGCAGGGGCGGAGCTACGTAGGGGCCAAGGGGCACATCTAAACCACCCTTCAGCGAAAAATTACAATATATATACAAGATTAAGTCAATGTATACAAGTACCATTGTACTCGTTCATTTATGATAAATTTAATGTAAATGTATACGTCTACAACTATGATGAAAAAGCTCCATCAACTTGTACCTGCAAGGTTTTGTTCCTATAGGCATTACATGATTAATTTTCAATCTATTATAACATAAATAAACCTCAATCCCTCCAACCAAAACTAAGCATCCAATTTCGAACTTAGGTTGGTCTTACACTTCAACAAGAAAATCTTTTACACATTTTCAAGCAAAATGTTCACTTCATCACTTCTCAAGAGTCAAGATACCCTATGGTCCAGTAGCGGGAGGCTAGTAGGCCTTGAACACATGACCTTAAGAAATTTTCACAGCACCTTAACCACTAGGCTAAGCCTTTAACTTGTGTCAAGAGGTATCAATACTTGTATATAAATTTATTAAACCAAAATTTGACCTCTATATACAATGTATTTTTCAACGAAGGGGTGTCGAGTGACACCCCTTGGACAAAGGTAGGTCTGCCCCTGCTATGGTCTATTCTAGTCTCTCTTCTATACTTCTGATGAGTTAATAAAACCTCTAAATTGAATATTAGGAAGTCAAGTTTTGTATTCTTGTTATGAGAAACATACTCAAACTTGGAAGTCAAACACATTCTTGTAGCTCCATCTAATTTACTGTAGTGTTATCAATTAATGCTAAAATGAATCCAATATGTAAAATGCATTATTTTCCTTTCCACTCAAAGCACAGCCCAAATGGTAAAAAGCTAATGCATGTTGTAGATTGTCAAAGGTGTACCCAATATTTATCACATACATGATACATATTGAAATTTTCTCCTCTGTCCATTTCAATTTTTCCGTCTTACTTTCTTTTTTCGTCCGTATCAAAAAGATTGTCTCTTTCCTTTTTTTGACAACTCCTTAATTCCAACTTTTTACCTAACATGTGTTAAGACCACGAGATTAAAGGAAATTTTGGCATATTTTACGTATCTTTAGTTTAAGACTACAAGATTTAAAAGTCTTTTTTACTTCTAAAACTCTATATCAAATCAGCATCAGACAAACAAATTGATATAATTCTTTTTATGTACATTGTCTAGTTCAAAGGTAAGAATAATGGATGCTTATGAACCTATTACAGTGTAAATAATGGATGCACATGAACCTATTGCTTTTACACTGGATCTATCTTTGTTCATGGCTGAACCCAAATTGCCAGAATTGATGAAATTACTGGGTTAATAAGCCTCAAAAGCACATAGATGCAAAGACTTCCAATTAAAATTGATTGTGTAAAGCATATTATTTTTGTATTGTCAGAGGGCAGGGGTGGAGCTAGGTAGGGTCAAGGGATTTCATTTGAATCGCCTTTTAGGGAAAAATTATATTGTATATGTACATGATTAAAATTATTTTTTATGTACATATAGTTGAATCATTTCGCTTCTTCATCTATTTACTTCTTCATATTTTTAAATCCTTAATGAAAATCATGTTCCATGTGTCGGTGTATAAAAAAATTTCAACATACCTGAAGGAGCTTTAAATGAATCGGAATCACCAAAATTAGTACTCGAAGATTTAGGCTCCGGCGGAGTGAAACAGGATGCAAAAGCTTCTGCAATGGATTTGACGGCGAATATGACCGGATTCCTGCCGGAATTTGACTTTTGAGAAATTGCAGTAGTAGTTGAGGAGTAGTTGGATGAACTAGGTGAATGAGGAAGACGATCAGATGTACGGGAACCCACGGAGCTGGAAGACATAGATACAGCGCCGGAACTAGATCTCCGGCCACCACCGGAAAATTGGGTATTTGGACTTTTCATGGTTAATGAATAGAAAGAAATGGCGGGTAAGCAGTAGTAGTAGTTGGGATGTTTGATTTTCGCTAAGCTGTGTGGGGGGCACTATGGGGTTGCCAGTTTGCTACTCAGTCAAGTCAATAAATACAGTACGAGAGATGATGGATATTTTCTTACTTATTACCTCCTAAATTTTATAAAACATTTTAATTTATAAGAAATAATTTAAATTTTGATAGTCAATTTCTCTATTTTTCCTAAAAAAATAAATTACTTTATTGGACAAACAATTCTATCATATTTAATACATTTTGAATTAATTATATATTGTTTCACTAATATAATTTTATATTAGATTTTAAGTCAGATATATGTATTTTGCTATCAAATACACCAAAGTGGGAAGAGAGACGAGTGAGATATTCTATGTATGTCAAATATATGTGATTACACTAAATACATGTATATGGAATATCATATACATAGAGAGATGAGTGAGAGAGGAGAGAGGCGAGCGAGAGAGTCAAATACATGTGAATTCACTTAGATACAGTGTACCTAAAACAAATTACACCTAATTTTGACTTTATGTATCCAAGATACATGTATTTGAACATGGTAAATACATGTATGTGAAATCTAAATCTGGTAAAGTTTCGTGATAATGAAAAGTGAAGGGAAGGGAGGTAATTAGGTACTACTAAACTAATGGGATTTCTGTACGTTACATATTTAGAAATTACATAAAAGTACGATAAGCTACCAGAATTAATAATTTAAAATATTTAAAGGATATACGAATAAACTGCAGTAATTTTTTTTATTGTTTGACACTCAAAATTCGAACTATGTCATATAAATTAGGACAAGGGTGCCTATTTATGTGGCATGGTTGAAATTTTGAGATTCAAACTCTTAAACTTTAATCGTGAATTCAAATATATAAGCTTTAAGTTTTTTTAAAAAACTAAAATTTATGTATTTGAAAATTACATAAAAATACTATAATTAAAATAAATAATAACTACAAATATTTAAAAAAAAAACTGATAAGCTTTCAAAATTCTGATTGTGTCACATAAATTCAGACAAAGAAAATACTCCAAAATATTATTATATGTAAATTTTTAATTCTTCACTCTTTACCATTTAGTGGCAGAAATTATAAGGAGGAAACTGCACATTTAAAAATCAAATAAAAAGACTTCACCTCTAACTAGACTTATTATTTTGAGCAGGAAAATGATAAACTTTTTATTTCCCTCATCTAACTTATCCAACACACTTAAATTTAGTGGATTAATAATTTTAAATATCAGATTATTTAGTTAAAAAAAACAAATATTAAATTAGAACTATAACATTCTCTTATATAGTGCTAATAAACTATAATATTGTTCTAAAATTATAACATACGCACATTGCCTTAAAATTCAACATACGTGTTTTTACTTTACTTAAAATTAATTGTCCTTGTCAATTGCATTTTATCAATAAAGATTGTGACGGATAGATAAGATTCTTTCACTATTAATCAAAAAATTTGAATTCAAATATTAAATATGAATTATTATTTTTGTTAGAAAGCATTTCTTTCTTAAATAAGTGATAAATCTTACGAAATGCAAATTTAAATTAGTTCTTACACTTATCAAATGTTCGATGATGATAAAAACACGTCAAACTTATATGATTTGAAGAACATTTGTATTTGCAAAAAATGTTTTAATGGGACCATTTTGGATAAAAATCTACTCAAAACATTTATTAGTCGATCAACTTGCTCCCCTTGCCGGCTGGCCCTCAATCTGGCTCTGTCCAAAGCTTATTGCTTCCCTTTGTTTACAGACAAATTTAAGAGATTGTCAATATATTTGGTTTTTAAAATAAAGATATTTTTGAATTTATTATCTTAAGTTAAAGTTGTGTTTAATGTATTAAATATATTTTGAATTTTGTGATTTTAAATATCAAATATTTAAAAAAATATTAAATATAAAAAGTGACATTCCTTTTATAAACAAACTAAACAAAATAAAACACCTACATCAAAACAAAAGATAATAAAAAAATAAAATCTAGCAAATTGTACAAAGTAAATTTAAAAAGTACTAAGTTTCGTGGATAAATATAGAAGGTAAATTGATCTAATTAATCAGACTCTAATATAAATATCGAATGCCAAATAATTTTTTTTAAAAAAAATTGATCCAATTTGTTAACCTGATCATGCCGTTGTTTCTTTTATTACTTACTTTGGGGTAGGGGAGTATATATTTTTTACCATTCTAGATGTGTATTTGACTTTTATTACACTAATACTATTTTTTTAACCGTAGCAAAATGTCCCAGAAATTAACATCATGGTAGGTAAAAAGATTCATAATAGAAGAAAGAAATAAAAATATACAAACCCCATAAAATTATTATTGGATACTGCATCATTTCTTCATTCTTAATCAAATATCTCTAGTTCGAGTTATAAATATGAAAAAAATCATGTTAATTAAGATGCATTTCTCTTTTATAGGCCGTAACATGAATTCAAATTAGTCAATAATTTAATAATAAACCGCACACTAGATTAAAAAATAAAACACAAAAAGAATCATTCTTCTCAACTCCAACAACATATTAAGTGTGAAAACGATAAAATATATGCAGATTTTAAAATGCTTAACTCCAATTTTCTGTAATTAAATAAGTAATATTCTCTCTGTCTAACAATAGTTGTCCACTATTGACTTGACACACCTCTTAAGAAACAATAAATAATAGTAGAAATATTAATTATTTTATCTTTTGACTTTATTAAATTTAATATTTTGAAAAATGTGTTAGATGATAAATAATACTTCCTTTGTCCCTAATTACTTGTCCATTTTTCCTTTTATAGTTGTCCCTAATTACTTGTCAATTTTGACAAATCAATAAAAGACAAAAAAATTTTACCTATTATACCCTCAATTAAATTACTAACTACTTTGAAAAATGCAGAACATTTCATCTACTTCATAATTAATAGAGATAAAATGGTAAACTCACTATGTCATTAATTGATTTCTTAATAGATGTGTCAATTCAAAAGTGAACAAGTCATTAGGGACAGAGGGAGTACTTAATAGTAGGGGTAAAATAGACACAAAAGATAAATTATCTCTTGATTTTCTAAACTGAACAAATATTATTGATAACTATTTTTAATATAGTGGATAACTATTATTGGATGGAGAAAGTACTTGATTATCAACGATCATTAGTTAAACAAAGTTACGAAAATACACCATACAATACAAGAAGAGATGTAGTAATAAGATATGATCCATTTTCTTGATTGTAATTAATGACAGCCTAGCAATCATCAAACTCCAACTTAATTATAATCTATGCAAGGAAAAAATGGCTGTGATCCAAATTTGACTTTTCAGTAGCATATGTATTCCTTACGTTTTAATTTATTTGACCTATTTTGATTTAGCATAAAATTTATGGTCTTAATTTATAAATATGTTAAATGTGTAAAAATAATTTTTAATTTTATAATTTAAATATGTCATGTGAAAATAAAAATAAAAAGTTATTACAAGGAAAATAGTTATTCTTTTTTTAAATGAATTAAAAAGAAAAACAGATCAAACAAATTAAAACGAATGAAATAGTGCATATTCAATTTAGCCACATATTATTCCTTTATTTATGTCAAATCAAAAACAATATATAATCAGATTCTTTATTCCTTTATTTATGTCAAATCAAAAACAAATATATAATCAGATTCTTTAAGGTCTAAAGTTTTTCGAAAATAAATTATTTTTTTTTCTGGAAAGGGATTTTTAACGTTGAAAAGTAGGTTTGTTTTTGGCTTTTTACCAAAGTCAACCACTAGTTGCACAACACGGCAACAGACAGATCAAGACCAAGACTGCAAAAGTGTTAGTAAAAAGTCCAAATGGACCTTAAGTATTGGATTTATTATAATTTATAATATATATATATATATATATATATATAT